AGACAGGATGCGAAGGATCTGAAACTGAACCAATTCTTAATCAAGACGATCAGGTCTGACCCATTAGACCTGATTTGAAACCTAAAATTATCAATGATAATAACAATTTAGAACTTCATTTTTATAATATAGTCTTCATAAAACTGAAACTAAAACACTACATTGTTGATAAAATGTATTTTTAACCATAATTATCTATGTATGAAATTTTCTCTTTTAGTCATAAAATAGAACAAAAATGATAAAAGAAAAGAAATCTTTATATATTATTAACTATATAATCAATTCAGAACAGTAAGAACCAATTGACTCAATTATTAATCAGAAACAAAAACCACAGAACCAGAATTGACATAATAACCAGTTCAGTCAGTTTGGGTCTATCGGGTAGACGACCCATGACAGACCCGGACTGGACTTGCACTATAATGTGGATGCAATTTACTCATTCCATCTTTTTCAGGTTGCTAATCTTTATTTTAACCCCCAAACTTTATTCCAGGTGGAGGGGTGGCGACCTAAATTTTGATTAAAACACCGCTAAGATCAAAGAAAACAAAGGGGAGGACATAGCCCACCTTTCCCCAAACCCAAGGATACAAAATTTCATGTTAAAACCATTCATCCCGCCCAAATATATAACAAAATTAACAAAACCTTAGAACAGGAAGATCAGGCCTATCATTGTTAACAATCACTTTTATGTGGTTAGGCAAATGTGAGAAAGCTAAAAGAATCTCACTTGTACCTAAATCAATGCCCGATTGGCAAAGGGAATCAGCTTATTTGTTCGCTTCCCTAAAACTTAGTTGAAAAAAAAAATTCCCTCAATTGAATCTTTAGTAGAATCACCTCATGAAAATTATAATAAATATTCCCCAAACTCATCTGAGAATGAATTGGGCCCCTGAGTTGATGATCTACTAGTTGATTCAAGATCTGGGTGATTCACCCCATTTAACTAGTGCCGAAATCGGTAACGGGGAGGACCATCACTATTTAAGAGGTGAATCAGAAATTAATTTTCACATTCCAACATTATGTCATGGTAATTCATAGAGAAGCACAGTTGCCAATAGACCTGTTCATGGGCTGGGTAGCCCAATGGCCCGTCCCGCATTCCGATCGGGTTTGGTCATGTAATTAGGCCTGCGGGCCTGACCTCGGGCCTAAATTTCTCTCTCTATTCAGCCGCTTCAGCAGTAGTAACAGCATGAGCTAAATTTTGGGCTCGGGCCTAAATCCGGGCTTCAGACTTTTTATGAAAATCAGGATTGGGCTCGGGCCTTAGAAAAATCTGTTAATACAGAGTGAAAGTCCAGCCCAGCCCATGAACAGGTCTAACTGCCAACCATCTCTTAATGCATTTACCTCAGCTTAATTGCAAACAAGTGTTGTGAATGTAGGAAGCAAAGAAACTAACACCCTACCCTCATAGTTTCTAATGATTCCTCCACCTCCACCTAAAACATGGTTATCTCAACTAGCACATTCATTATTCCGTTTGACTTCTCCTTGAAGAGGGAGAATCCATTTAACCCATATTACCTATTTAGGAGGAATTGGTTTAAATGTAACTTGACGGGAAAGAGCCCACTCATAAAACTTGATTAGTAGTAATAGACTTATCACCTTAAAGTCTATTTGATTCGCAGTTGGAATCGGAATGGAAATCGGAATAGTCTATTCTCATAATTTATTTGGTTTTGATAAAAATGAGAATGAAAATTGAAATCAGTACCTATTTCATTCCCAGGGGAGAGGCAGGGAATGACCATTCGCTTAGATGGGTCATTCCAGTTCCGATTCCAAACCCCTATTCCAGTGAGTGAACTAAACGAGGCCTTGGCTTCTTTAACCATTTTGATCACATAAAGCCCACCAACTCTTAACCCTGTCACAAGCATGCTATGATCTATGAATGTGAATGTTAAAAATATTAACTGGAAAATAAATGATCAATAGATTCTTGGTCAGTCTTGCCATAACATTTGCATTTGGAAGCAAGCATAACACCTTTCTTTTTAAGGCTGCATTTGGAAACAATGCAAATGGAGTGTAAATCCTGGTTTAGGGTAAATTTGCACTCTGGTTCACTTTTGCCTGTATTTGACAACATTACATTTATGCATTGACAAATGACAAGACCAATGCATATTTACATTGAAAATAAGATGTAAAAGTACATCAATAAAAAAGAAGTAAATTTGCATTCAAGTGGGCTTTTGATTAAAAAAAAAAAGCATATGCTTTATTGGAATTCATGTTTGCATCCATTACAGTTAAAAGTCTGTTTGGTAAGAAGATAAATTTATCAGTGCAAAACTAACCCAATTTTACAATTTATATGAACCGTTTTACACTCTACACATTTGCATTCACACTTATTTACATATTTTTCCAAATACAGCCTAATATTCTCATCGATGCAATCAAGCCATTCATGAAATCTCCCCATAAAGACAGCAATTTCTGTGGGTAAATTAACCTGCCTTTCAAATGTGTTTCGCTCAAATGATTTCATCGTTAGGATTATGCATCATATAGTGCGACCAAAAGAGAGGTATTCTCAATCAATTCAAAACTAGATTTAATTCTAAAAGCTTTGACAACATCAACAAGGAAACATGTTCCCAAGCCTCCTCCCAAGCACGCCTCAAAGAGAATTAGCAAAGAAATAGTAAATTTGATTGATAACAACCTTGGGAACTTCCACAAAACTTAATATAGATAATAGATGTGCATACTTTGAAAAACATGTAGAATCAGAATCAGTTTCCCACAGCTGACAAAAAAATTTGCCTTCCACGCCTCAATTTTCTTGCATATTTTGCTAACAAGATCATCAAAATATTTAATTCTTAGACTTTTCCTTTCAATAGGGCCACTTAAGTAAAAGGGAGCCATTTATTTGCAAAACCAGTGAAAGAAAGGGAGCCATTTCTTTTTTTTCTTTTAAACACCGAAGCAAGATTTTTGTTTATTGATTAAGAAAATCCATCAAATCCTATAAATCCCTTTTTAAACTTTTTGCAAAAATAATGATATTATCCACAAAGAGTTTCTGTGACACACATAGAACTATAGGGGTGCAAGTCGAGTGGGTTGGGCCAAGTTTATGGTAAACTCAGGCCCGGTCCTAAAATTTGGGCTTAAGGCCCGAGCCCGAGGTCAAGCCCGATTTCCCAACCCGCCCTGTAATTTGATGCATTCGGGTTGGGTTCGGGTTGGTCAATAAACCCACTAAAATTATACATATACAAATATATTTATGCAAATATATATATATATATATATATATATATATATATATATATATATATGTATATATATATATATGTATGCAAAATATCTATACAAATGTTATATATACAAATATGTATGTAAATATATATAAATATGTATGCAACATTTACATTATACTCATATATATGTATACATGTATATAATTGGGCCGGGTTCGGGCTACCTAAGGGCTAGGCCCGAGCCCAGCCCGAAAAATAAAAAAAAAACGACTTTTTGGGCCCAAACCCAGCCTGAGGACCGAAAATCCAAGCCCAATCCAAGTAAAATTCCAAGTTGGGCCGGTTCGGGCTCAGGCTGGGCTCACCCAAGTTGCACCCCTATAGAACCATCAGGCATGCAAAAGTAATCAATATGACAATTAGACAAAAAGACTAACATGCCTCTACAAAGTACCAAGGTTCAAAGTATCATTACACCTCGGTGTATCTGTACTAAAAATCATGAGCTTTTATATCTTTTTAGTTTTTTATGTTGATTTATATTTATATATATATATATATATATAAAATTCAGAACACAAAAAATACGATATAATACACTCAATACGATGTGTATCGTATCAAAATTTTGATCCTTGCTAAGTATTTCAACAATAATAAAGAAATTGGGAAACAAAAAGTCTACTTGAGGATTTAAGAGAGCCTCAAGGTGAACCATTAATGAGAACTAAAAACCAACAGTTGCATATACCAAACTTAAGTTAATCCAATTTTCATTGAAACCAAACTTCCTCAAAACTTTAGAAATGAAAGTCGCAGCTCAACGTATCAGAGGTTTCGGTTATATATCTCTACCCCTATTCTTCCTATTAATTTTCACAACCATCGATCTCTTGAACCATAAAAATGTTATCACCAATGAAGCGACCTTTGATAAAAGCACCTTGTTTCAGAGATATAATATGAGAGAATAGGTTTGGGTGTCTCTATAAGCAATTTTGCAAAAATTTATAGCAAAAACCATAAAAATTAGGGGTGAGCATGGCTGGTCCAGTTCGGTTTCATGGCAAAACCAAGAACCTACTCTATGAAAGTTGATTCTAGGGTCTACCCATATGACGTATACTTTCTTTACTCTCCCCCTTCACAAATAAAAAGCATGTTCTTTAAAAACTTAATTTTTAATAAATATAATATAGTTTAAAATTTATATTATCTTTATTGATTAAATTGGATAAATTTATATATAGATTATCACTATATGGTTAAAAACTTTTAAATTAAATTTAAATTTTATAAACATTACCTTTTACACTACTTATCGTATATATTCAAATATTAAAATGAAAATAAATGATCAAATCATTTAAGTAACTCAATGGTCAAGTGAGACCATGGCATTTGTAACCCTAAATGTTTGGGTTCAAATCTTTACATCCCCAAAAGTATGATAGGGTTTATTTCAAGGCAAGTTCAGTTCTAAGCCAAGTTCCAACAAGGTCTATTCTACCAAGACCAATCAAGACGGGTTCATCAGGTCGGTTCGGGCAGGGATAAACCCTAGACCTTGAAACCGACATGAATGAGGTCAGTTCCAAGAACTTAGAACCAAACCCTATCCAACAAGGTACAATCGATTCAAGACCAATTCGAAATAAATTCTATTCGATTTCAGGTAGAACCTACCCATTTTCTCACCTCCCAAAAAAAACTACTATACTAACTTGCTAAGTTGATATCAATATAAGCATTACGTACACAACATCATCATCACCACCATTTAAATTAAAACTGTAGATGTTTTGTGACCCCACATCGAATTATTTATTTATTTACATGGAGTTAATAAAGCAAAAGCACCCTAGCGTGCTCGTATATTATGTCCAACGCCATACAATCTTTATTGCTGTGGTGAGTTGTTAATCTGGTAGCATTTAAAGCATTTTTCTATGAGAATGCCTAGGAACAGTAATGGTGAGGATACCATCAGATATATCTGAGTGAAAGTCGTCTCCTTTAGCATCTTCTGCGAGTGGGATTTGCTTCCAAAACTGTCCATACGACCAGTGGAGCTCACCCTTTTCCTTCTCGTATTTCTTCTCCTCACATTTGATTATCAGAAACCCTTCCCCAACCTCGACTTTCACATCCTCTTTCTTTACACCTACCACCATGATGATAATTACAAAATTAGAACAGAAAACAATAATTGAATTGAAGAAATAAAATGGCTATTAAGGATAACATGTAGTGCCTTAAATACATCCTATCAATTCCATAGAAAATGATGCAAGGAGTAATTAAGAGCCCGTTTGATTTGCAATTGGAATTGAGATGGAATCATTCGGAATTTGAATCAGAAAAGTCTGTTTTCATAGTCTGTTTGATTCAGAAATTAAAATAAAAATTAGAATCAGTTGGAATGAGATTTCATTTTTAAGGAATAGGGAGAGAATAACCTTTCCTTAAATGGGGGAATGTTATTCCACCAAGAATGGGAATAGAATTCTAATTGGCCCATTCTGATTTTGACTTAGACCCCTATTCCCACAAATCAAACGGGACCTCAATTAAATCAGAGCTGCTTACCACTTTTCAAACTATGTCAGAGTTGTGTATAGATTTTCAAAGCTCTGGGGTAAATTTTAGTCAAATACTTCTCCTAATGGTCCGTTTGTTTTCTAAAAAAATTGGTTTGAGAAAGGAAAAGATGGGAAGGGATGGGATGAGAAACAGAAAATTTTATTTTCTCACTGGGGTGTCCTATGTTTGGTTTGTTAGGTACGCCTAGAAGGTTCTGATGATGTTCTTCAAAAACTCTTTCTAAGGCTTGAAAGGCATGAAAGCTCAACATTAGCGATAAAGAAAACTACAAGAAATCAAATATATTAGTAGATCTTAAAGGAATCTCATCTACATGCACTAGACACCGCCGGAATCAATGGCGTCCAAAACAGGGGCAACCTGATATTGTCAGCGCCCTAAAACGGCAACAAAAATGAAAGAAAAAAAAGAGAGATTGAGAGAGAGAACACCAAGGCCACCTTCACCGATACAGATGAAAACCCATTAAAAGGGAGAGGTCGTCGAAGCCTAAAAACACCAATGCCACCGTTTGCCCGTTTCTTCTTGGCGGCATGAGGAGATCGATGACACCCAAAAACGGAATAAAAATAATCGCCAAACGTTAGTGGTCATGGGTCTTACCTTGGTCGGATATCGTCGGGAACGTCACCAGAGACTTGACCGTTGTAGATGCAGGGAGACAACGAGAATCGACAATGGTGCTTCAGTCAAAAGGCTCGATATTTTTTTTCTTTGACTTTTTCTTTTTCATTGGGGTCGCATATGTGCGACCCGGCGTCCCTGATTTTGAGAATTGGCATCACACGATTTCTCATCCCATCTCGACAAACAATTACATGAAAATGGAAATCTAATGGGAATATCTCACTTTTCCATCCTAATCGTAGAAACCAAACGTACCAAAAGCGTGCCAAAATGTTAAGAAAAAAGTTAAAAATGTCTCGATTGAAAAGATTGAACCGAAATTCAATGTAACTGGGTCTGGATCTTCAAAAATCAGATCCATTTATAATTGCATCGAATCCTTATCCACCCTAATTCTATTCCATCCAGAGTCGAGGCCCCAAGTACCCTAGTAGTGCAATGGATATAAATTGATTCAAATTCGAATAATAGTTGGATTGGAATCAAATCTAGGTAGATTTGATCCAGGTCCATATCTCTTCTCGGTTTGATCTGATCCGATCCGATCCGATTATATATAGCATAGAGAGCTGGATCCTGTGCTCTAATTCAAACAGGTCAGCTCATGAATCAAATGACATCCATTTAACCAGACAGGATATGGATCGAATCCTGACCCTCGACCACCCGGATGGCCGGATGGATAAGAACTGCACCCAACAATGGGCCAGGCCTGAAGCATGAAATCCGATTCAATGTTCTAAATATCGATACGGGTGTGTTGGTACATTTTTTTTAAGTTTTATTTTATTTTTTTTTTGAAATCGATTTAGAGGAATCGATTTAAGGTCCGGCTACCCTCTGAGAGAGGTATCGGTAAGCCATCGATACGATACCTATTGGCCCATCTCCACTCATTTGTGCCTTCAAAGTAAAACAAGAACAAGAGGAGAGAGAAGTTCATACCAGAAATTTGTAAGGTGTAGATGTAAGCTTTGGGAGTCTCTCTGCAGTGATGCGGCATCTCAGACTGCGTAGCCTGATTCCGATACATGTGCCCCATCCCTCCGTTGCCGTAGCCAGGCCGATACGGATACATGAACGCCTCCCACGGATTCCCGCCGGCCGGAAACAAGGCCGCCGCCGGGAGAGCAAGCCCGACCACTACCACACACATCCATAACGCTAGCTTCGCCATCCTCGTCGTCATCGAGATTCCAGTAGCAGAAAAGAAAGACAAAGAATTGAGAGAAAGAAAGGACTCAAATGACTTCTTTTCTTTTTGGCTGTTGGCATGATGCTTGTACATAACGCGATGGAAGGTGTATGTGAAAACCGGAAAAACCGAGGGCGCGCACTAGGTTCATAGCTTTAGCTTGAATGGATTTCTTTTACTTTCATTAATTAGACACGTGGCGCTGTTGAATTGGTGTGGCCACTGTAGTTGCATTAGTTTTTTTCTTTAATGCCGTTGATTTTGACTGTAATGCACGAGACAAATTCGAGATTCGAGGTGCCACGTTTACTTTTTTGCCCAAAGCGAGTAAGAGGTGACGTAAAAAGTTTTATCCGCCAATAATTAATTACAGGTATGTGTTTTGTGAGAAATGTATTGGTTATACAGATTATACAATTGTTTTATATAATAATTAATAATTATTTATATTTAATATATTATTTTTAATATTTTTATAATATAAAAAATAACAATAATTAATTTTAGATAGGGTTGTTCTCATCAAATTTAGGGATGGCAATTTTTTTCATTTCCCTGATTCCTATGGAGATCTACCCCGAATGGGGAAGGGATGGGGATGACTTTTTTCTGTAGGGATAAAGATGGGGAATTTTTCATCCCTGATGACGGGGATGATGTGGGGACGGGGAGAGCACTCCTTGCCCCGTAGGGACCCCCAATCCCCGTCCCATGGGATCCCTACTAATATATATGTATAAATATACATACGTTTATATATATGTACACATGCGTCTATATGTTAATATTTTTAAAAATATGGTTGATTATGTTTGAATCTTTTCTAATAGGATTATAAATTTTAATTATTTTATTTTTATTTTTTAAATAAAAATAAAAAATATATAATGGTTGATATTATAAAGAATGACAGGGAGTGGGGATCCTCGTGGAGACGGGGATGAGGATTTTTGTAGGGATAGGGATGGGGAAAGGTTCCTCGTCTCCACCCTGCCCCGTTTCCATTCCTAATCAAACTAATGAAACTAACTAACCCGATTTCTATATTTCCAATCGGCTTTGGTTCAACACTTTCCCAACATGATTGGGTTGGATCGGTTTCGCTTTGGCCATTTGTAAACTGACTAAAATTGAGCAATCTGACCATAGACATATGTTGATGCAGCATGATCTGACTACTCTCTACTGGAGGATGATATGGCTTCCAATTGAGCAACGAGCTAGTTGAATTTGCAAGACAATGGATTAGAGAACCTGGGGTGGCTAACTCGGCGAGGTCGCTCCGATGCTTAAGTTAGTATGTTGTGGTGCGAATTGAATGCTTTGAGAATTTGAGGGGTAGAGAGCTAGAGAGTAGAAAAATCACGTGTACATTGTGTCATTGGGGTTGGTGCCTTTATATAGTTGAGCTCTCGTAGGTTTCGCGGATCGGTTTCAGGATCTTCGTCCTGAGGGGATCCGTTTCCGCTTTAATTGGGGAGTAACATATCAATTAATAAAGATTATCAATTCTGCTCGATCTGGGTAGGGGGAATATAAGACATGTCGTTACGTGATGTGATCCTGTGAGGTTCGGAGTCTACTGGAGAAACTTCTAGAGTTGTTACGTGGCGGTTCGGGTCGGTAGCCCCGAGTTGATACTTCGGTTCTTTCGTTCCAAACTGGATTGAATGCCGAGGTGCCCCGATGTCGAGGTGATTCTATGCCAAGGTGACTCTGTGCCAAGGTGGTTGAATACCCGAGCTCAATCGTTGTGAACAAGGCTTGCCAGGCTGAGCTGTCATCCCTTAGTCAGGTCGTGTCCACGTGTCCCCTTTTCGCTAGGTCAGGCCAAATCACCCTTCATCAATTGCCCCCCACTCCCCGAGCCAGGGGTCTCAACCCGGTGTGGAGAGTTCATGACGAGTCCAGGTGAATTTGGCACGAGGTCTAAACGGCTTGACGAGCGAATCACTGGTCGAACCTGTTCAGCTGCCTGGCTCAACCAGGAATAACGCAAGTCGCGTCTTATAAACTCCGTGAAGGCTGTTTATAAACTCCGTGAATGTCAAAACACGTGCTACACCGATTTCAAGCTCGGGGGTCGTGCAATCAGTTTTCCTAGGAGCCATTGGATCATGATGATCTCAACCATTGATCCTCGAACACATCGGCTATAAATAGGGGGCAAGGGGCTCATTTTCTTCGCCACAAGTCCGCTAATCTGCCATCTGAGGTCATGCTCAAGTCCATCAGTTCGGTGTCTTTTCGAGGTCGCCTTCCTTTTTTCGGTCTTTCTTTTGGTGAGTTTCCCTTAGCTCTCTTTTTCGATTCTACGTCTTTCCATCATGTCTAGCTTTAGTTTCGATAGCCTCTTAGACGGGAGTGGTGATTCCACTAGAGTCAAGGTGGGTACCTCAGCTCAGGCCATAGATCCTCGTCCCACCGAGGAGGTTACTTCGGGTCAGGAAGCGGTCCTCGGTCCTCCTGAAGTGGACTCACCCCGGGGGGAGAGAGAGGCCTCTGGTAACCTAGCTTCCACCTCACATCGAGGTCGGCTGCCAGATAACTTTGGCCCGTCAACAATGACGGCGGACAGGCTCTTATCCCTAGTAGCCCGGTACAGACTTCCTAATGACCGTCTACAACATCCCTTTAGGTAACTACCCTTGGGAACATGGTCACGATGATATCGTGAAGTTCGAGGAACAGCTCGTAGTTGGTCTTCGTCTTCCACTTCACCCTCTAATAGTAGAAATCATAAAGTTGTTCAACATTACCATAGACCAGTTGCACCCGAACTCCATCCACAACGTCGTAGGGACTATCTCTCTTTTCCATGACTACAGTCTTTCACTTGACCTCGACATCTTTTCTTCTATTCTTTCCATCAAAAGGAACTCATCTTGTGTTCTGCCCGAGCACAGACAAACTTATTACTTGTCACCTCATCCCGGCTTCAAACTCTAGCACGAGCTCCCGAACAAGGTCACGACCTGGAAGAGGCGCTATTTCGTGGTTTGCAACACTGAGGGGTGGCCTTTCCCGACTCATTGGAGGGCAGCCATCCAGGACCCCGATGTTAGGCTAGAACTGAAGACAAGAGAGGGGCTCCAATCTTGGGCGGAGCTCGCCCTGATGTTCGAAGATATCGTGACCGAGAAGAAGCTTGTGCATGCGGGTCTATGCCCTGGTAGGTCGCAGTTCGCTGTATTTTCTCTCTGCTTTACTTTGGTATGATATCTGACAGCTCGCTTCTTGTTGTAGCTATCATGGACATCCCCGCCAACGAACTCTTCAAGAGTATGAAGAAGGGGAAAAAGAAGAGAGCTTCAAAAAGAGCTTGCATTGAGTCCCCGCCAGGAGTCGTTCCAGAGCCCAACCAGCCATCAACCGCCGAACAACCTCCAGTAAACGATCTGATCGAGGAGGACTCGGGCAAGCTCTCCCCGCCCCGCGCGCCCGAGAAGGCTACGTCTTCGAAGCCCGCCCCGGGAGCTGTTGCTTCTTCAAGCAGCGACGACGCAACTCGAAGCATTTTGACTCTGAAATTCGGCCTCCTCATGAGCAAGGGCATGATATATGCTGAGGAGGTTGCTAGTTGGGCTGAGCTGTCGGTTTCTCAGCTCGGAGCCCGAGCGGCTACACATTGCATGGTGGTAAGTTTTTGGACTCGTCTTCTTCGAACTATCTTGTACTTGGCCTTTTATATGCTGACACTCGTTTTCTTCTCTTGGCAAGTGAATTCCACCATCCACGCCTTGCCTTATCAGTCCGAAGTGAACTTGAAGCGGGCCCTCGCAGCCAAGGAGTCTTCCCGTGAAGCCCACACCAAGCTGAACTTAGCTCGCAATGAAAATAATCAGCTGAAGAAGGATGTGCGGGCTAAGAAGGAGCTGCTCACGTTGCTAATGTCAAAGAAGAAGGAGCTCGAGGAGCGTGATGCGGCCTTGAAGAGGGAGCTCGCAGAGTGGGAGGCAGCACTGAAGAGGGAGGTGGAGAACCTCGAGGCTCACATGAAGGAGCGAACTGAGATACTTCTTCAGGCAATGGAGGAGGCCAAGGTTAAGGCCATAGAGGAGTACAAGTTTTTAGCAGAGTACCAGAAAGAGATGGTCGAGATGGGGACGGCGAGCTACCACAAAGGTTTTAAACTTAGCAGGTGGCTGACCCGACGTGAGTTCCCCCAACTCGACCTCAGTGTCATAACCACTTCGAGGATCACAAAGGAGATGGTCGTCAAAGCTGCCCAAGATTTGGACTCCAGAGCAGAAAATGACGATGACTTATTCGATGAGGAGGAGGAGACTGGTGTTGGCGAGAGCCGCATGGAGACGGATCCTCTTGCTGAAGCCTCCAACAAAGGTGACTAGATGCATCTTTTCTTGGACCCCCTTCTATAATATAGCGAGCTTGGTGTACTATAAATTTTTTTCCTTTTTTTCCTTTTTTTTTTGTACTCGGCATGCCATATCAATGAAATACAAATATTTTTTGCAATCCTTGTGCAAGAATCTCTTTTTTCATCTAAGTGTAGATAACTCCCGAACTGGAAAACTGAATCGAATAGGAGAAGATTTCTAAGTGTCGGTTACCCCGAATTGTCGAGCTAACGAGCTGGACTACGAGTAGGGATAACTTTGCATCATTGTACGCTGAGGTGGGCGGATACTGTAGGGTATATACCCGACCTGTCTGCACACGGGCTACTCGCTTAGGTGTCGGATATCCCTTTGTGTCAAGCCATCGGGCCTGACTTCAAATGGGATCAACCTTTTGTGTCGAGCTAACGAGCTAGACATAGTAGGGTTTGTACCCGAACTGTCTATGCCTCAGCCGTGAAAACTGGTCTGCCTATGCTGAAGAGGCAACTAGGAGTTGTCTGCATATGCTGAAGAGGCGACCAAGACATGTCAGCCCATGCCGAAGAGGCGGTTGGGACTTATCTGCCTATGCCGAGGATGCGACTAGGACTTATCGTAGTGTTGAGATCTTATGTCAGCTCGGCATCATGGCCCTTGGGCTTCTTGGAGTGACTCGCAGTCCTCTCTCCAGTTCGGTGATCCTTCTTGACCAGTTCGGTGGTCACGAGTAGTACCTTCTTAGGTTGCCGATGTTCCACACTCGAGGTACTAGCTTC